CCCCCCCCCCCGCCTCCCCCCCCGCCGCGGGACGGGGGGCGGAGGCGGCCCGGCGGCAGGGCAGGGGACGGGGAGCAGGTTACCACCTGCGGGACCATCCAGGGGCTCCCGGCGCGGCCCGACCCCCCGGGACGCGCCCCTGTTGTGCCCCCGGCACCCCCCGCGCCTCTCGGAGCGGGCAGCGCGGCCGGGCGGCGGGGTGCTGGCAGCAAAATACATCCCCCCCCCGGGGGGTGCTGGGTGCCCCTCGCCTTCCCGCGGCCGCAGCGCCCTGTTTAACCTCTGCGTATTTGTAAACTTGCTGGCTGCATCGTTTGTTTTTACAGGTTTTAAGGCCTTCCAAGCTCCTCTCGGGGAGGACGGAGCTGAGCGGCTGCCCCGCGGTGTTAGCCGTGTTCTAGGGGGGTCCCGCTTCTTGAAAAGATGCTGTTAGAAACTATTAGAGCTGACAGCTCGCTGTACTTGAGTGAAAACAAACAGCAGAGTAGAGCTGTAAGAAAGCGGCTTACTTCTGCCCTGAGCCACTGAGGGAGCCGGTGCTGAGCAGCCCCGGTCGCCTGCATGCGCAGCCGGCCAGCCCTCCGCACAGGACCGCATCTGCCTACAATTAAGGGCAAGTTATTTGTACCAAAACCGCACCGCTGCTGCCGCGGGTCTGGGCTGCTTTGGGATGTCACTTGCTTATCCCCGAGGCTGCCCCGCATTTCACAGGACCGGGTCTTGCTCCGGTAGCCTCTAAGTAGCATGTCTGGCCCGACGGGGCGGTCAGCAACCGGCTTACTGCAAACCCCAGCAGGCCTGGGACAGGACCGCAGCGAGCGAGGGGCCGAGCGGGACCTGCAGCTCATGAGGACCACCAGCTCCAAACTCCGGGCAGGAGCCGGGGCTCATCCCCCAGACTGCAAACTCCTCTGTTCCTGTTAAATGCTTAAATTGCAGAGTGCCTCTCCCTTAACTAACGTGGGCACCGCAGAGCAGTGATTACCCCAAACCGGCTAATTCTTCAAGCAGGGCAATTATTGATCTCCAGAGAAGCGCGCTTCGCATCTCATTTTTAATCACTTTTTATGCTGTGCAAAGAGAAATTAGCCGAGGCGGGAAGGGGGAGAGCTGCTGGGATGGCTGCGGGGGAAGAGGCTGCTGCCTCTGCCTGCCACCCTCGGGAAACTTTTTTCCATCGTAGTAGAAGTTAGAGCCTGGGAAACAGCACTGTGCTAATCGCAGTGAAGACAAATTGACTCCATAGCTCAGCTATAAAGGGAAAATACTACGTTCCTCTGTCCTCTCAGCGGCACTGGGACCGTGTCATGCGATATGTGTTTGTCCCGCATAGTATTTGGAAGAGAGGGGACCCGCTCTCTGCCCCTCACCCCAAATAACCCAAACCCTTTGCACTTGCAGGCTGTGCATGGCTGCTTCCAGGGTCACAAACAAGCCAAGGGACTTTTATTAAATACTCACCAGGTAACACACAGAAAGGACTATATCCAGAGCCGACCCCTCAAGCTGCTTTTTCTGTCCCCTGTGGTGACTTACGCAGCACCCATTCCCCACAGAAATTACAGAAACCTCCTCTCTGTCCCGAGTGAAACTGGAAATCCCAGAAGCACAGCGAGTCCCTCCACTCCTTGCTCCATCTTTAGGCTTCTTCCACCAGTTTAGAGAGGATTTCTGCTCCCTCTGAGGTAATCACAACGGTATGTTCAAACTGGGCTGATCTGAAATGCACATTTAGCAGTTATTAGGGGGCAAATGTGTCCACCACGCCTGTAAAACTCACCCGTGCTTTTTTTTTTTTTCGGTTGTCAGTGATCAGTTCCATGGCTTAGAAAAGATGAAATAATAAAATCAGGCACCTTTTATTGTCTACAGAAATTGCAGTCCATTTATCCTTCAGAATCTTAAATTCGGGGGATCCTTCCATTATTATTGGCTCTGCAACAAGAAAAACAAAATGCATTCTACAGTTAGTCGCACTCCCGTGTGGGCTGTGAAGCAAGCAAGGACGGGGGGTGGCCCGGCAGGTCGCTCCCCTTCTGCACAGGTCCCGTCCTCCCTGGGCCAGCACTCTCTCGCAACACTAAAATGTGAACTAAAGAGGAAGACAAAATATCGAGGTAGGAAGTTGCCCATTCCTCTTTTGTAAAAGCGGGGAATTTTAATCAAGCTTTAATTAAGACCCCGTGGATAATAACCAAAGCACCAACCACGCTTATCAACAGCAGATAGTTTTAAATATCGGAATTTTTTAAACAGGCTTAAAATGTTCATTAAATCAGCAAAACAACAATTTTCTTCTTTCCCTCTAATTGCCGCGCCATTTAGCCACACAGTGAGAAAGAGGGCTTTTCCCCCCCCCAGCTCTCCGTGACTGGTACGTAGCGCGCCCAGGCTGCGGGGCGAGGCTGTGCCTGGCTACCGGCGCGGCGGCCCCCACGCCCCCGCAGGACGCCGTGGTGCACGCGAGGCGCACCCTGGGGGGCAGCGGATGCCACGGGAGCCAGCAGGCAGCTCCCTGCTACACCGCGGCTTCGGGGACGCCGTCGCATCCTCCGCAGCCCAAGCGCGCCGGCTGAGTCCCCGCCTTGCCAAAAACACGCCTCAAACGTGTCATTTAATAAGATTTATAATCAACATTTCGTTTTCTAAATCGTAGCATTTGGAAGCTATTTCACCCGATTGGTTCCTTAACGCGGGTTTTTTTTGTTTCTTTTTTTTTAAATCTGCTTGCTAAGGGGTCAGTGTCGCCGACATCCCCATATCTGCATGGATATCTCTATATCCCAATAAAGAAATGGTACAGATCTGGGCTGCTCTGTGTGTGCTTTTTTAAAGAAAACCATAGCAGAGAGTTACTAACCTATTGTGAACGCCATTCCCTCTTCCATTAAGAAATCACTGTCATTGGCTACAAAAGAAAATAAAAACGCGTTTATGGCTGTTGGGGCTTTTTTTTTTTTTTTTCCCTTTTCTTTTAGTAAACGCAAGCAGCACTTGGTTTAAACCCCTTTTTGGCTCGCAGGTACCGTGCACGCCGGTCCCCGCTATGAAGCGGAGCCC